TCTGAGTACTGCAGTTTGAGGTCGAGCAGAGAACCCAGCAGAGCACCGTCTGAGCGGTACTGATCCAGACACACAGGAGTCATGGCCAACAACGCCCGCAGAGCCTGCAAACAAGACGGCACCAAGTAAGCACACGGTTCCTCTGGTTGTACTGGATCTGTTAGTTGACGCTGCAGAGGGGCAGAGTGGAGGCTGGGGGTCATCAGCCCACCTTCTCCCTGTAGTCATGCTCAGTAGACTGGAGCAGCTGTGGCACCAGAGAGCACCAGCCCTCCTCCATTAGCTTCTCCTGCAGGGACACCTGGGAGTACTGACGCAGCCGCTCGGCATGGGCCGGGTCCTGGACCGGGTCCAGGCCGGTCTGGGAGATCAGCTCCTGGTGGAGCAGGACACAGAGACCAGATTCAGCCATTCCACCATTACAGTAGTGTTTTTAAATTAAAAACCATTAGTTTTGTGGGATCTTTTTAGAACTATTTGCAAACCCCTTCATTTAACCCTGTCAAATCTATATACAGAAGAAAAAATATCAAGCAGGCTGATTGGACACAATCATTTTTAATCCTTATAGAACTTAAAGCTGCACTAGGTGACTTATTTCATTTTTTTTCTTTTACATATTTGCTGAAACTGTCACTATTTGGTAACAGGTGCTCCTCATCAATTATGCATTAGCAAAAAATGTGGCAATCTGTTTCTGAGCATCAATAACATGTTTGTTTAATACATTCAGTAAATGCAGGTGTGAGGACATCCAGGTCCAGTAAAAGCTGCTGGATATTTGTGATCCTGTTCACTATAAAACTAGAAAGCAGAAGGCAAGCTTATTAAAAGATGACTACTTGGTTTGTACCTTCTCACTGATCATGTCGTACAGCATGGTGACTATGCGTGTTCGCAGGATTCCTCCAGCGTCTGCCCTAAAGAACTCTGATAGAATCTGCAGCCCGCCATGGGACAGGAAGTGGTGCTGCGCGTAGGGGAAGTGACGCAGGAGGCAAGCAAGTGCAAAAAGGACCTAAAATCACAGAACCATAAATTTAAATGTTCTCTGTCTGGACGGTGGGCTGTGCAGACAGGAAGCTACCTTCTTCTTGACGTTGAGCGGCTGAGTGGTGACCAGCGTTGTTAGAAGGGTCTGCAGAGCCCCTCCCTCCACTGCTTGGACTTGGACCACCGGGTTACTGCAGGACCAACACAAATGCATCAAAGCAACAAGCTGAACACAAATTCATCCTAAGATGTGCTGAGAATGGAGGCGTGAGTCCAGCTCAGTGGCGGCGCTTACCTGGCCACGGCGGAGCCCAGGACCAGGGCAGAGTTCTCCTGGATTCGGACATCAGAGCTGTTCAGACCATGCAGGATGAAGCTCAGGCCGCCCATTGCGCATAAGGTTTGAGCATTATCCACCTAAAACACACATACACACACCCACATGCAGGTTGACATGATAACATGTAGTGAGCTCGTGGTGAATGTGCCGTGCTACCTGATGCACCAGGTACTCCAGCTCCTGCAGGATGCTCAGCCTCTGCTCCACAGTGGAGTTGCTGCTGTTGAACTGATCCAGCAGGCGCCTCATGATCTGCAAACACAGGAAACAGCATGAGATGAAGGAAACAAACTGATCCTTCATCTGATCTCCAGCTGGGAGCAAGCGAGAGAGAGCAAGACTTCCAGCAGTGAACAGGAAGGCTGACTACAGCGTGTACCTGGACATCCGTCTCTACCAGCAGATCCAGGTCAGCCATGTCCTTCTTTAACTCGTCCAGCGGTCGGAACCCTGATGGTGCCGAGTCCTGCAAACACAGTGAGGGTTGGGACAGTGCTGAGCAGAACCTGGTCAGTATGGAGAGTTCTGCAGCGGATCACTACCTGACTGCTCTGGTCCTCCTTGATCTTCTTCATGGCCCGTTTCAGCTCAACAGGATCAATGGAGGACCGGCTCTTTTCCTCTTCCCTGCCACCACAGAATGACCATTTCTATCCTTTGACCACTGCTCTTCAGCCTTGTGGAAATGTTTCCTGAATGCGTAGCAGGAACCCACCTGTGCTGCTGGGTCCAGTACTTGAGCTGTTCCTCCCCCAGCCTGACCTCCCGCTCACCGGTCTGCAGGTTCAACCTTACATGGGAGCCTGCAGGGACAGCCTGGCCTGGGTTCACACACACCCATACACACACACACAGACACAGCCGACAATGTTACAACTCAGTGGCCATTGATCAAGCAGACACAGACAGAGTTGTCTATCTTTATATGGATGGTTGACATTTTCGAACAAGAAATGAATGCTTGCATGGTCAAAGACCAAATATAATATAATAATCTATATTTTAGTTTTTGCTTTCTGATGTTCCTGCATAATTAACAGAATGTCATGATACTTTGTACAAATAAGTCATTTCTGTGATATGTGTAAATGGCGTTTTAAAGCGTGCTTCACCATAATTAGCTAAAAGCAGCTGAACAGACCTGGTTACTTCACCTGGTTTCAGTGTTTGCCACTGTTCATTAGGCTGAACAACCTCAAAAACTCCATCATCATCATCAACTGTCACCTCCTCCTCTTCATCAACACCCCGTCCTCCCTCAGGGTTCTCCACCACAGTTAAGGCACCTTCAGACTGCAGACATAAGTAATAAATGTAAAATCATCATTTAGTAATACCCAATAATGTCTGAATAAATAATACAAAAAACACCTTATTGTGGCATTTAAGAGAATAGAATTTGTTTAGGTAATTCCAAGTGACCAAAAATAGAAACCACTTAATCTGATTTCATGTCATAGTGGGGGAGATTCTTAACAACCATCTTCCTAACACCAGGGATTTGTATTCAGAGCAGGGAAAAACAAGATTGTGGTTTGACTTCCCCAGAGGAGGTCTTGGTTTGGAGATGCATCCTTGACATTAGTATAAAGCGAATCCAAAATCTTGTTTTCCCGAGTGGAGCAGCTGACAAACTGGTGAAACGTTGGCAGTGTAGAAGAGACTGAAGCATGACTAAATCACCACATATTGCAATAAGTCCATTGGGGTTTTGTGACTGTGTCTTAGCAACAGAACGAATGACATCACATGCACTATCAACAACAGCTGAAGTTGGGATATAAACACACAAAAAGTGGGATGTAAACAGTTGCCAAAATAACACTGGTGAATTATTTTGGGAAATATGGATGGAAACTTAAAGGCAAGAGTTCAATGTCTGGACTGCAGACAGGAGGCTTCACAGTAATGCACTGCTAATCCACCTCCTTTCCTTTCCTGCTGCTCTTTACATTTGTCTGCTGGTGCAGTCAGGAAGCCTGGCAGAGGGATGTTGGAGTTAGGGATATAATCCTTCAGCCATTGTCAGTAAAATATATTCTACTGCATTCCCTGTGTTGTTTCTGAATCTTTGTCAGGGCTTGAAGTTCATTCATTTTGTTAGTTAAAGACCTCACGTTTGAATTTGAGATGGTTTGAACTTCCTCCTCTCTGCTCCCCACCACGCCTCCTTTACAACTCCTCTGAGATTTCTGGCTTTTCCAAACTTAACCAATTGCTGTAAGTCACTCTGTTGTTATGGTTACGCATCATAACAAAATAAAGTATAAAACCAACTGGCAAAAATCAGTCCGGCTCCGCCGCATCCAAATCAAGAAAGAACACTCGTCCGAAAAAGCTATTTTCCCCAAGACAGACAGAAATTTAAGTTTTAAAAAAATCTCAGACAAAGTAGAGCTATTCTAATGTGCCACCCTGAGCGGCGTAATTCTAGAAATATGTCATGTAAAGCATTGTTTGGTTTTTACCCGAGTGAACAGACCTGCACGGTAACCTGGAGACGCTGCTGATGTTCCAGAGACTGATTGGTTAAAACTCACCTTCTGGCTGAGAGAGCAGTGCAGCTGCAGGAGAACCAGGAACAGGCAGCAGAGAGAAGCTCCTCCAAAGTAATAGAAAATCAGCCTCATAATTACTGGAACAGCACAATATCAGGACAGTGAGCCTGGAGACACGAGAAACACGTAGGGCTGTTTCCACATTGTTTTAATGTTGGCAGAAAGCTGACAGTGGGAGTTAGTTCAGCTTTCAGCTCCTCATGCTGGACCAACCTGGAGACTCGAGGCTCCACGGTGGTTTCCTACCCAGGCTGGCCTCGCAAGCAGCTTTCTCGACCACCGACTAGAGAAATGTGACTCAGATATGTTACTCTGAACTCACCTGCTGAACAGAGTCGTGTATCATCCACCTGCCAGCACGTAAACATCGACACAGCTGTCTCACATTCACCGGAATGATTCCAGCGCTCTCATTGGTCCACGTAGTTAAAACGCGTCCTCTATCCAGTTGTTCCGCAGTAAAGCTACTTACTGCCCTCTGCCGGCTTGGAGCGTTATTTCATCAAATAAAAACGTCAGTAGGAGCGCCGGGTGGCTTTAGTTGAAACGCCCGCAGAAAGCAGACACGCACCATCTTTGTCTCGGGTCATTTGACTTCCTTGGGGCGGACTGGGACAATGTTCCAGAACGGGAACTGTAAGCCAAAGGTAATCCACATTAACTCGGGTCAGATTGTTGCTCCTGTAGATATTAAGGGATCTTCTAACTGATCTTCTCCAGCATCACATGAGTCTTTAGACCACAAAACTCAGAATTAATTGGAATGATACGGAGGACGGTTTCCACATTTTTTTGTAGTCAGGTTGTCATTGCACAAAGACAAACAAACAGACAGACATTTTTGTTTCTGATCTAAATCTAAAGAATTTATAAGAAAGTAGCATAAGTTTTATGTTAAAGTTAGCTTCAGTTTTTTATTTGAATCACAATAAAGAAATGGAAGCAAGTTCATTTCAGTTCAATATCAACTGATTTAAACAGGATCATTTTCCTAAAATAATTGCCCAAGTAAATTTTTTTTGCCAAAAGATTATTAATGCAAAAATAAAATAAATCACTTTTGGCAAAAAATAACTTAGGCAATTATTTTAGGATGGTGTTGGCCTGCACCAACAAGGCAACTTCAGTGACAAAAACTATTGATAAAAACAGGAGCTCAAACACTGGATCATTCCAGAAGCTTATAGATGGCTACAAAAAGTATGAAGCTTCTCTTTCTGAAATCTATTTAAGAAAATCTAGTTCATTTAGAAATGAATTGTTATGATGTCTGGATGTCAAGTTTTCAAAGTCACAGTGAAAGTGGAAAAAAAGATTTTATAAATATCTAACAGTTCCATGTGTTATAATAGAGCCAAAGCAGTTCCATGTGTCCAGGAAGGAGTGATGCATGTCAAAGTGTTAACACCTGGCACAGTGTTAACAATTTCTTTAATATGTAAACACAGAGTTAACAGAATATGTGCAGTGAAGTTCTGGAAAACATGGTTATAACTTAGGAACAGAAATATTAGACATTTTATAGCCTCCCCAGAGTTCCACTATTACACACACACACACACACACACACACACACACACACACACACACACACACACACACACACACACACACACACACACACACACACACACACCAATGTTTAATGGGGTGATGGAGAGCTCTACTGCTGGGCACACTGGTTCTCCATTGTGTTATTAGAAGTGACGTAGATCACCTCTGTTTTTGGTTTCTTTCTCCTCACTTCCTGGTTGTTCTTTGTTTCTTCCTTCTGGTTAGTCACAGGCCAACTGAGGGTCAACCATAAAAAACACAGAAATACAGATCATTAGTCACTCAGCAGGACAATGTTTGCAGCATGGTGTGTTTGGTTTAATCTGTGGATTGTGTGGGGAGTGGGAAGAGGGGCTCAGAATCATCAGCACTCCTTACAGTTGCCATTTTAATTCAATTACATTTCTATGAGCAAACACATCTATTTGTCTTAGTTGAATTAATTAATTGAATTAATTGCAGGTGTGCTTTCTGCTGGGTAAAACATCAAAAGGATCTGTCAGATGTATTGTATGAACTGCAGCCTTTCTCTGGTTTCTATAAACTACAATGTCACAAGAATTTACATAAGAAGGGTTAAAAAAAAATCCAGACTAGAAATATGTAATTTGACCCAATTACATTGCGTCATACTAGGCACTTAGGAAACCATCATAGTAGTGGCCTATTTACACACCTTTGGGGTTGATTGTTTAAACATGTCCAATAGAAATGGAAACAAGTAGAGAACATTACAGTCATGGGGGCTTTTAGGATTTATACATTCAAACGTTCAATACTGGTTTTTAAAAATATTTTTATGAATGTAACTTGCTCTCTCTGGTTGTAGTAACATTTGAGGATAAATCCTAACATGTGAAGGCAATCGCAATGTTTACTCCCGTTGAATAAATATGAAAAGCACATTTGTCATTTGATAAAATCACTTTCTCCCATAATCTGAAGTCTTTAGAAACGGAACCAAAAACAAATGCTTTTCTGATTTCCTCGCCCATCCCAGCCTGCTTTAAATAAAGACGCACCGATCCAATGTTGAAAAATATTCTAGATCAGTTTATCAGCTGTCACCTGATCTAGGGTAGATATATCCAGTCTAATTTTATGCTTTGTACTCTGAGTGATGTCTGGGTTATTATCTATTTTACATTACATGTAGAATTCCTAGTTTGACTTTCTGAACCATGTGAAGGTTTATTGTAGTTTATTTCTACCTGTTTTATCAAGACAGTCAGCTCATCATTATTGTCAGTTTCAGATTCTTTATTATACATTTTCTATTGGCTGTTCTTCTCCTAAATGCACTGACTAAACAAATGAAAGTGGTTTTAACCAAACTTGTGAAGTTATTGATGTGTTTTAGTGTGCTTTGCTGGCATAGAGTATCTAAATACATTTATAATTCAGAACATTTTGTCTGTGTTGAAAACAATAAAGGTTTAATGTCCGTCCAGCATTGTTCTTCTGTTCCAGATTGTACCGACCGGTGCATCCGCAGCTCCCAGCAGCAGTAGAAACCTGAGTTGTGGATGTAAGTTGATGTTGTGTGATGACAGTACTGACCTGGGAGTGGGGATCACATCAGGCTGATCGGAGCTGATCTTCACACACTTGGCAGGTTTCAGTTCAGGCTCACACTTAGGTGCTGGAACATAGAGGAAACGATGAGCAGCTGCAACACATGATGGCCTGAGCTCCGCATGCTGGTTACACTCTCCTGGAAGTGTAACCAGGATGGAAGGTGAGACGGTTCACCTTTGACCCTCCCTTCACTTCACCACATACCTTGAGCAGCAGCTGTTATCTCTGCAGGGCTGTTTTCATCTTCACGGGCCACTTTCGTATTGTCTGCCTCCTCAGTCTCCACGGCAGCAACCTGCTCTCCATGAGCGCTCTCGTCAGGTTCAGGCTTCACATCAACAGGAAGCTTTTCCTTTCTTTTCCTCTGGATAGGGTTTTTTTTCACCTCTGCAGAGATTCCAGGCAACAGCAGCGTTACGGAGCAGCAGACAGCCAGCTAACAGAGGCTGGAGGTTTGCTTCACTACCTTTGGGTTCATATTTCTGCTGAAGCTCCTCGACACGCAGCTGCAGCTTGATCTTGTCGCTCTGAGTCTGCAGAAACACAAACTCAGACATTTAAAGGTGTCGCAGCCCGAGGAGAAGATCTGTTCTCCTCAGATTATACACTTAAGGGCTGCGCCAAGTGGACGGAAAGTTATATTACAATATGTCATAGGACTATTGTGATAACTACTCATTACTCCTTTTTTAGCTAATCTTATGTGACTGAATGGTACAGCAGTGAAAGTTCCATAAACACAAGTACTGCTCTTGAAAAAAAAAATAAAATTCTAATCCATTTATTTAAGACATAAGTTATTTGAAGAAGTTTGATTTGTATCACTAAACTGCTCAAAGTAACTGCATTTATTTATATTTTCAAATGTATTGATACTCTCAATTTAAAAACCATTGTGTAAAAAAGTAGTAAAATTAACGACCCCAACTATATGGACAGTATTAGGCAATTTTAGACATTAATTGAAATTTATAGTGACAACAATAAATCTAAATTCTTCTCATGATAAGAAATGTATCACTGTAAATGATAAACAATACAATAAATCCCCACCACTGACTGAACCAGCCATCCTCTACCTGTTTGAGCAGCCGCTCAGACGTAAACAGCTTCCTCTCCAGCTCCAGTGCTCTCTGGCTCTCTGACAGAGACTTCATCCTCTGCAAGGACAGCTCATCTCCCAGTCGCTCAGCATCCTTACTGAGCACACACACAGACACACACACACACGTTAGAACAAAGCTCTTTCAGTGGGTTAAATTGGGACAGGGTTCCTCTTCTTTTGAAACTGCCAAATATCCATAAATTTTCATTATCCTATATTTGCAGCATAATTATTAGGGACATATATATATAGCTCCCTTGTAAAAAGCGACTACACTGCCGACATTGTTTCTCTACTCCAGTTGATCATCTCATAATCCTCTTCTGCATCATTATCACTGAATTGAACAAAAGGCAACAAAATGAAAATAAACAGATGTTGTGAACATTGACCCAGGTTCGTACCAATATGTTAAATAATAACTCATATTGTTTAACAGTGACACGTTTCCAGACTGAATTGAATTTCAGTCTGTAAACATCAAACATTGTAATGATGATGATGACGAAGGCTGAACTCACACAGAGTTGTTGAGCTTGAGTTGGAGCAGGTCAGTGTAGTATGTTTCATCCTGACCACCAACTGCTTCTGCTTGGAAGGGATTGGCTGGTTGAGACTTCAGCAACGTCTATACACACACACATGCACAGACACAATATGTGTTTTTAGTAAATAAAGCTAAAGTAATCATTATCCTTTGTACAAGTATTCATATCTTACTCCATCACAGTTGCAGATCAGGGATGGGAGCTTTACAGATTTACTGATCATTTTGAAGTTGCTCTCAAACATCACTGTTGTAGCGTTAGCACAGCGAGCATGAAGCATCTTTCAGCATTTCAATTACTCCTTGTCCGTCCACCTCACATGGAAGAGGATTAGGTGCCACCCCAGAATTTACTTTACCTGGCCACATAAAAAGAAAATCACTTGAATCTGACATGTTTTTTTTTTTTTTTCAAGTCAAACTCCTGTTTTGTTTTTTTTCTGTGGCCTTGAATCTTTAGTGCCCTTTGTAAATTTTTGTCCCTGTTGGATAAAGATGGTCACATATTTTCACCATGTTGGAAATATGGAGTTCACCGTTTTGATAACGTGGGGAGCAGCAAGGAGGGGAGGGGCTCAGTGTCTTTGTTGTCGCAGCACTGCAGCCAGAAGAAGTGCAACAGTTTGAGCCTAATTATTTTTTTAATTAAGTTTTTGGAATTGATTATGTTGACATTTTGAGAATCCAAGTTAAGTGTGATCCAAGCAACATTTAACTAGTAGTGGTGGTCACTACTTGTACCAGACACCTGCAGCTGTACTTGCAGTCAAAAACATTTTTTACATAGTTTTGACTTGAGGTGCTGAATACTGATCCACTCCACTCTTCTCAGACTTATTTGTAAAAATAAAAATATATACCTTAAACAGTTTTTATCAACTCTATTTTGTGTGTCAGTTTACAAATTAAAATCTCTCCTGTTGAGAGATTCTTGAAGTAAATTGAGTAAGTTCATCTTCATTCCAAACGTCAATTTGATGTTGGAATTTGAACAGGTTGAAGCTCTGTACTCACCTCCATCTTCTCCAGCCTCTGCAGTTTGGTCATCAGACTCTGGATCTCGGCGTTCTTCTCTGACAGCATGGACTGCAGCCTCTCCAGCTGAGCAGGGTCGGCCCTGGAGCCTTGCAGCTGCATTAGAGTGGCGATCTGGACCTGCACAACACCTTCACTGTCATTCCAGGAAACGCATCAGCAGCTCTACCCAGCTATCCTGTCACACACTCTACCTTCATGCGCTGCATCTGCTGCTTACTGAAGGCGTGCATTTTCTGCAGCGACTGATGCTGCACCTTCATGCTGATGAGCTGTCTCTCCATTGCAGCTCGCTTATCCTCCAGCTGGAAAACAACAGACATACTTCAGCTGAGGAGCTTTAGTTATTATTTTAGTGCCATTTCATAGCACAATTAAGCAACTACGTTGGCTTCAGTTGCTATAAGATACTCCACATATAAATTTGACATTCTAATTTAACGTCCATGAAATTGGGCCTTTGTCTCTTTAGAAACTTCTGATCTCTCTAAAGCTCCGTCTTTAGGAAGTCATCACAAAATGGCTCCTCTATTAGCCCTTCAACAATGTTCTTACCAGCGCTGCCATGGAGATTAAAGGATTTCTCAAACATGAACCAAAGAATCAAGGCAACACTACAGGAATGTGCTTGATGAGGGAACAGCATCACAACTTCTCATTGATTTTACATGATGCTGCCCTTTTAAAAGTTCGCTCAAAATTCCCATGACAGTTGGATAGAAACCTAGCAAGTGTGTGCCGACTCTGTGTTTACCTCAGCAAACAGAGAATTTCCCCGGCTGTTTGGATCCTGGGCCTGCTGAAGAACCTGATCCAACTGGATCTGCAGATCCCGGTTTAGTTCTCGAGATTTCTGTTTAAAAACAAAGCAAACATCTGAGTGAGGGGCAGAAACAGGTTCACACCGCTTTACGTCTCATCACATCAAGCTGACAGATCCAGAACAGAAACACTTTTTGTTGGATTTTTACAAGACATGCTTCAATCTGTAATATTAATATCTGTATCGGTCCTGATATTGAAAAAATATATATTTCTGTTATCAGTGACAACGTGCTTGATCCACAACGGGATATCTATTCTAATTCTATGCTTCATGCTCTGAGCGATGTCATGCTTTATTATGTATTTTATATTATATTTACAATTTCTACTTTTACATTCTGAAGCATCTGACATAAAGTTTGTTGTAGTTCATTTTTACATGTTTGGCCAAACCTATTCACTTTGTTTCAGATTCTTTATCACTTATATTACACTCAATGCTATACTCCTAAATGCACTGACTGAACAAATGAAAGTTGATTTTACAAATGAAAGTTGATTTTACATGTTTGACCAAGCTTGTGAATGTATAGATGCATTTAAATGTGCTGTACTAGTGCAATTAATAAATTAATTTGTAATTCAGTACATTTATGCATGTGTTTAAAAAAAAACATTTTTTAAATTAATTCAGCTATATTTCTGTATTGGATTGGTATTGACTGATATCTGTATCAGTTCTGGAAGTGAAAGAAGTGGATCGGTGCATCCCCACATTTTATAGCAGATTCTGTTTTCCTTTTAAGGTCTAAAACTCAGTTAGTTGGAGCTAAGGAAGAGAGCACATGAGCCAGGCAGCCAGGCAGCCAGGTTACCTCCAGGGCGTTGAACCAGGACACGGCCTCCCTCTCCCTCTCCTCCTTCTCCTCGCTGAGGCGCTCCACCTGTCTCTGCAAACGGCTGTTGCTCAGCTCCAGCTGCTGCTCTCTGTAGCGACTCTCCTGCAGGGTCTGCTCCAGCTCCGCCTGGACCAGCAGGAGTACGTCTCAGGTTCGGTACCGACCAGCAGAACCCACGCTCCGCTGTCCAGACGAGCCTCACCTTAGCGCTCTCCAGCTCCATGGTCTTCAGCTGCACCTCCATCATCTCAGTCGTCATGGAGCTCTGGGTGTTTTCGTTCAGCGCGCGCAGCTCCTCCATCTTGCTGCTCAGCGTCTCAGCCTGCACCTCCAGCTTGTGCTTCAGTTGCTTTTCACTCAGCTGGAACTCCTCCACAGCAGACTGTAGCATCAGGATCTGCACACAGTGGTTAGGACTCAGATCTCCCATGTCTTCCCTGGGCCTGTAGAGCAGGAGTGTGTGATGGTTTGCTTCGGCCTCACAGCTTTACCTTGTTCTGGTGCTCAGTCAGAGACACGCTATGGCTCCTCTCCAGATGATCCAGATGTTCCTGAAGCTGCTGTTTCTGCAGGTTCTTCATGCTCTCGTATTCCGACTGCAGAGACTCCAGAATCCGGGTCTTCAGCTCCACCTCCTTCTGCAGGGAGTACTTGTCCTGCTCGAGAGCCTAAGGCACACACAACTGCTCAGAACAGAGCTGAGAAACTGTGTCCTACATTTTGCCTATTCCTGCAACTTCCTCACAAAAAGTAAGATCAGGGCAGCAGCTAAAAATTATTTTAGAAATCCATTAGTGAGATGATTCATCGCATAAAATATTTGCTACATTCAGCAGATTTGTCATTTAACCACTTAAGCCTGTTTTATACAACACTGGAAATACATTAAAACAATTCAGTTTTGTTTTAAATAACAAAACAAACATTTTATTGCAGAAAATGTATTGACACAATATTCAGTGTATGCTTGATTATTTGTAATTTTATTTTATTAACTGACTAATAATTGAATAGCAATTTAATAGGAAATGGGTTTTTTGTTTGTGCAGAATTTAAAGCAGGTGAACCTTAATTATTAATAGATCAATAGTCCAATCTAGTAATAATTGGTTGATAATAATACCAAAATAATTGGTTAATGAGCATTTTAATAACAGATTAACCACGATTAATCTGATTAATTACTTCAGCTCTAGTTAAAATATCTTAAATCTACATTTTCAGATGCAGACATCCCAGATTCAGATTGTGTTTTTTAAATGGACCCAGCTCCACACCTCCAGAGCGTTGGTCATCTCCACCCTCTGCTCCTCCAGCCGCTCCTGGAGCTCATCCTGCTGCTTCAGCAGGTCCAGGCCTGCCTGGGCGGCCCGGCGGGCCTGCTCCTCACTCTCTTTCAGCTGGCTGCGCAGCAGCTCATTCTCCTCCTCTGGAGGCATCTGAGAGGATAGAGGAAAGACACTGGGTAAGTTCAGCAGTGGTGTTATTATTATTAGCCACATTTCACTTATTCTCATCAATTCATATAATGTTTTCCAACAAGTCTGAGGATGAAGAGTCTTTATGACAAATATGAGCTGACTGCTGTTCCTTGGAAGCATCAGAGAATCTTTTTCAAAAGTACAAACATTTATCCTATTTAAAGTAAGGTAAAGAAATACCACATAGCTCATAAACAAAATATTTACTTTATTCCTTTGGACCAAATCAAACTAAATGGAGCTCTATTTATGAATGGTTACATTCAAAGATGCATTTTTTTGTCCATACTGTTTGATTCCTTCTAAGAGATATTAAGCTGTTACAATTATTTTTACTTTATTGAATATGACAATATAGACTTCTTTTGTTTATGGTCTGTGTTACCAAGGAGATGTGACCTTTTATTTGACCGTCTGTTGTAGATTCAACACAGCAGAATTGATTAAACATGTCGATTTGCGGAACTTTAGTTCAAAATGGTAACAGACCATGTTTCTGTGCAGCCCTGGGTCGACTCACAGACAGCAACAAACCTGGTTTATTCAATTTATCATGGAAATATTACTGAACCCTTCAGGCAGGTTTATGAACCCAGACAGCAATAATTACACGTATCAAAATGTCAGCTTCCGAAAGAGAGCAACCCTTTCACTGGAGACAGTAAACTCATGTTAACGTTTATCTTCTTTGTAAACTGGTAGCAGTTTCAATACGACAAATACACTGAGCATTATTATTCACTGAGTACAAAAAACCTCTGCTACAATAAATATTTTAACAAGCACTGTACCTTCTCCACAAACCTGTCGTCCTTCTCAACCCGCCGTAGTTTGAATCCAGTTCCTGTGAGTTATCGCGACAGTTTGCTTCAAAACAAACCAAACGCGATTAACTTTACCCACAGCGACCTCTAACGGTCAATTTTCCGTTCCATTAATGTTCATGAAAGACATTAAAAACAAATCCCAATCCTGTCATTACATTTAATTCAAAATATCATGTATAATTAATAAAAGTACTCTAAGGCTTTTCCCCCAATGGACAAGCATTGGACTAACGTTTTAATGTCATTTTCAATTTTCTTCTCTGCTGTGTTGTCTGTCCACATTCCTTTTGTTTTTATTTTTATTTATTTATATTTTAATAAATTTGCTATGGTATTTTATTCATTTTCTTACTGTGAAGAACATTGTGACTTATGTCTATAACAAATATTTTTTAACATTCAGACAGACATGTTTTTTAGTTAACTTTAACTAAAAAACTGGTTTCATTGTAAACCAGTTTACAATGAAGTTCATCTTCATTGTAAACTGGTTGTATTGAATATTTGTCCAAAGAATGGACAAATATTGTACCAGCACCTTGTGAATGAAGATCAAAAATCAAGAACACCCACATTTACCAAAATCACAGAGAGAACTTCTAAGCACATCTTAAATTACGATATTTCAAAATACACTTTGAAAATACAAGGGATAAAATAATTATTGAACATGGCAAAAATATCCCAATAGTGTTGAGAAGAAATCCAGAGCAGAGGTCACAATTGGACCAAAAAGGTCAAATCAAAATAGGTCTGTTAATGAAGTTTTAAAACTCTGTGAAATGACACAGGGAAGAAGTATTGGACATATGAAGTAGAGAAGCTGCAAAAAGTGAGATCAGGCATTTAAATACCGGCCATATAGACTGTTCAGTGGTCAGATGAGACGAGGATTTAACTCTCTAACACACACCATTGCTTCTAACTGGTTTAGAATAACGCACGGTGGCAGCATGTTGGAGAAACTTTATAACGTTAGGTCTGATTTGTTCTTTTTCTATACTTGTGCACATAATTGTGGGTTGAGATATTGAATGTCTGGACAGTTATTTCACGTTTTTGGATCCTGGAAAGATTTCTGCTTTTATTTTACTTTGGGACAGTTTTGATGTATAACTGTGGCAACAAGGTTTTATTTTAACAACTGGGAGCAGGTGATGGCATCCTCAAAAATCAAATACCAGAGCCATTCATACTTCACAAGGATCATATCCCCAACTCCAACATCTTGTAGTCGGCTTCCAACCACACGGCCTGACAGATTTAAAGTGGCAAAAGCAAATGAGTTGGACCAGCAGTCATCCAGGTCATGTTGCTGGGGAACATGTCCTCATGGAAATCTAGCTTTTAGCATGTCAGATGTCTCTTCAGATTAATGGCAAGACTGACTATTGCAGGAGATTCGTTCTGCCCAAAGCTTCACCATCCGTTCAAATATACCCGAGTAACATGAGTTCCAACACTTAATTTTCGTTTGGGATAAATAACACATTTTTGAATTGAAGTGAATCATGCTTTTTGCCATATGACAGACTTCATATATTTAAAGAAAGGATGAAAAGGCCCAGAGATAGTCCTGATAATTATCTGAAAGTATAACCAGAATCTAAAGAAAGAGAAAGAGCTGATAACAGAAGAAACCCCACCTTCAGAACATGAACCTCATTTTTGTGGAAAAGTGGTTCAAAAACACACCTGAGCCAAACACGGCCAATCAGAAATATATTTACTGATAAAAACATGGACGTGTTAAATATTTATTGCCCCCACCAAAGCCTTAACTGTGTCACATTTTGACAGTTGAGGATTCTGCAAACATGCAACAATAAGACACGGCAAGTTTTCTATTACTTCAGCATAATCACTCCTTCAACACATTCAAGTCATGGATTAATCTCCCAAATCAACACACAACTCACATCACATCAGATTCCTCCAGGATTCCCCCGGATAAGACAGCTTCAGTTCATGTTTTTGCTGCTTACACAATTCATGTCATCACTTTCACTCGCTGGTTGTTTCACACTGAAACAACAGTCTCCTAATGTTTGGTCGACATTTTTTACAGAATGACAAGTAACAAATAGTGTTCATCATGACATCTCTGTGGAATGATAAATCTAAAGAAACAAACACAATGTTGCTTGGTGGTATTTACAGTAAACAGTTTCATTCTCTTCTCAGGCTGCGGCGATGGAGTCGTCATCTGGCTGTCGACCCTGAGGCTGGACACAAAGAAACAAGACGTGTTTCAAGTCAGACCCGAAACACTGAAATTCAGGGGAGAAAAGGCTCAGAGGTGGGCGGGACCGCCGGTTACCTTGACGAAGATACGCTGAGGCAGGAAGCGTCTCAGTGCGGTGCTGCTGGACGTCGGACAGCGTGGCAGGCAGATGTTGAGCTGTGGTAGTGTTTGGTAACCAGCCATCAGTGGGTAGTAATTATACAGTATCTGCTGCTCTGTGCCGGGGAGGACCCGCAGTCGGACCTGTGTATCAACGCACACAGCCAATTTTCTTAACTTTGGGAGATTGGTGATCTCCAAAAATTAAGATTTTTGCACGTGAAGCCGACCTTATCCACTGATGTAATCTACAGTGCTCACAGAAGGAGCACCATCCTCGTATATTCATACTCTTATTTTGAAGGGACTGGCAGTTTGATGTCGTACCTGTTTGAGTCCAGAGAACATGAAGGCATCCGACGGGTCAACAGCTATCTCTACCTCCTGCACCTGAGCCGTCCTGTTCTCTATGTGGTAACGAACTGGAAGGGACTCTCTGACCCGCCCGAACGAAGGCAAATCTGACACACAACCGCAGGCACAGACACACACAACATGGCTGGCTGAGCTCAGAGTTGAAAACAGATAGTTTGGTATTACATAGAGAGAAGTGAGGCATGTACTGACCAGCATAGATGTAAAGAGGGACAGACTCCAGGATGACATGAGGTAACGAGACTGGAGTCTGGATGAGAGGGCTGTCTGCGCTGGAGCACTTCCTGTTCGACACAGCTATACCTCTCAGACATGCCTTCATACACACCGGTGTTCCTCTGGATGTGTGTGTTCAACATACCTCTTCCATGAGATGATGTACTGTCCTGTCGCCACCGTGTTGCTGCTACTGGTGTCTGCAGGACATCGAAGACAGAAGCACTCACTGGCGCTTTCTCCTGTCTGCAGAACCACTGAAAACGCAAACACAGCATCGTCAGCCCTTCAGCCGTTGTAGCTGTAGCCCTGTAGCCCATCACCCTGAGCTGCCCTCATACCTTGCTGCAGCTGGGACTGGAGCTGTGGCGTGTTGCTGGTCACCGTCAGCAGCTGCAGGGAAGACGAGCTCAGCAGGAGAGGCCAGGGTGAAGACGAGAGGATATCTGTCATCAGCAGGAAGGGGATGTCTACTGCTACCTGCTCTAATGGCTCAAACTTGACACACACACACATACACAGAGACTAGGATCATGACGGAGTCCTCTGCTTGCTACAAACCTCAACATAAAGTCCAATCTGTGCTAGTCAATATGACAAAATTTATAAACGTTTAAAAACATCTTCGTGTGAGCTCCAGACCTTTGTAGATACAAACTTGACCGACACTTCAAATGGGACTACGGTCTCCACAGTCACCGTCTCATCCTGGATCACACAGAAAATAAACAGAAAACAGCTGATTATGTCTCTACACAGGACAGGAAACACTAGTTATGCATGCAATCTAAATAATTAAGAAGAAGTTCTTATTTTAGGAATTAAAAGAGAAAAAAAGATTCATTATACACACAATGATATATCTCAGTTTTAGTTACTGATTTTTATAGAAAACTAAAGCTCCAAATATATCAATAAAAAAGAAAGAAAAAGAAATTACTAGACAACATCTTTGATTACAAATACAAAGAAAAACAAAGAAATAGAACACAAAATATGATAAAGTATGCCAGGAATGTTTTGTTCATGTTCAGGTCTATGCCAGTGTTTTTCAAAGTGAGGGCCACTAGAGGGCGCTGAGAGGGCCTCAGAAAGCTGGAGGAAAGATAAGAGCAAAAAAGCAACAAAAAAAAAAAAAAACAATTCCAATAAATTTTCAATCAGAATTTTCTTTTATTTATAAAATCTAATCTGCTTTACAATTATACTTAAAATTATAGGTGTAATTTAATAAAAAGTTATTTGCTGTGGTAATCTTTCTCACTGGCTGCCAGTCAAATTTATCAAGCTGTTTTGCTCATTTATGCTAAACCAAAGTAATAATTGTTGACCAGTGAATAAAAACATTTTAAAAGTCTATGTCTCTATATAATGTGTAATATTGTCTGTGGGTTATCGGAGGAGGGTCCCAGGCAGAAGCTGAAGCTGTTTGGGCGCCGTGGCATGGAAACGTTTAAGAATCTCTGAGGAAAACCGACAGTCAAAAACCCTCCCTGCTAACATAGCTGCCTGTTTACAGAGAGTTGTCTGAGGGCATATTAATACATAATTGAGTGGATGGAAAATTGTGGTAGAAAAAGCTGCTGAGGAAACAGCTTGAAGCTGGAGTCAGAGCTTCAAGTTTCTCAAAAAGTAAGTAACTTCTCCTTATTGCTCTAGAATGATTTTAAATTCCTAAGAAATTGAATGCTGGGTTTTCATCATCATCAACAGAAAGAAAAGCATGAAATATTTCCCTCAGGGCATAATGAGTCCATGTAAGTTCCCCATTCTGAATTAAATGACTGAAATACAGAAAATAATAATGCTCTCCCATGAGGCTCTCTACCTTATGACATTTACACACGATGTGTCTTCCTTCCACAGCGGTATCGATGCTGTAGGCCACATGAAACAAGAAGATCCTCGGTCCGGTTGAGACACACCTCATGTACACACACTTCTCCAGCTAGAGCCGAACATAAGACACGGTTACTGGAAGAGAGAAGCTGTGGAGCCTCTGGTGTGTGTGTGAGTGGTGTGAGTGTGTATACCTTCTCTCCTGGTGTCAGATCTCCCAGAGGCACATCGGTGAGCAGAGC